CAAGGTCACACAGCCTAGAATCACCGCCACTGAGGGCCTCCCACAGCTGTTTAACTGTGACCTCACACTGTCTTCTGGCTGGTGAAACACCTCACTCAGAGTTAGTAGACCCTGCACTTCTCCAGTATGTATGGTAGCGCCTGGCCCGTGTCACCTTCAGTACATTACTGGGGCCAAGGAGAACACAAAAGGGACTCAGCCTAGCGTCTGGGGCTCCAGACAGCCTCATGTCTAGCTGCTGCAGCTGTCAGAGCTGGGCAGGGCTGGCAGGAGAGGGTATAAGGACAGCAGAGGGCACAGCTGTAGGTGAAGGCATCTACTCCCAGTTGTCCTCCCAGCTGTCCCTGGCTTCAGCCTTGACAATGAGCTACTGAGTTACATGCAGGAGTATCATTGACCTCTTGAGACAGGGGAAGGCAATAGGGGACCCTAGTGAGGAATGGCTTTTCGGTTTCCCTTGGCCCACTTAAGCACTTTCCAGCCCCCAGGGATAGCTGCACCTCTTCTTTCCTTGTAATTGGGATGTGGACAGGGGCACCTAGGACCCAGGTACCCTCAAAGACACCTGTCTCTATCAGTGTAACAGTTCTGCCAAAGGGCACAGCCTCCTTCCAAACCAGGCAGCCAAGTCTGAAGATTGTGGCAAACGTGTCACTGGCCTCAGAGCAGAGTGTCTAGGCGGCAGAAGTGAACCCATTACATGTCCAACTCATCTTTCATGCTAAAGAAGGTTTAATAGAGTAGCGGCCGGAAGTCAGACGCTCACATCCTGACCTTTCACCCCCTCGGGGTATGGGACTAACCTCTACCGTTGTTCTTGTGACTGCAGCCTCCACAGACTTAAGCCTGCATCTCTCTGCTTCTGGGGTCACAGAAGCCTGCCAACTGGGGGGGGGGGGAAGAGGTGCTTCTGGGTCTGGAATTATCCCAATTTTTGACCTGGACCTACTCCAACAGTTTCTCATGGAAGGAACGCTCCGATCACACTCTGAGTCTCTATATAACCCAGACCAGCCTTGAATTCACAATACTCCTCCCGCCTCAGTCTCTCAAACTCGGGGAATTACAAGTTTATGCTACCACACCTGACTAGCATTAGAGACCAAACATAGGGCCCTAAGCATGTTAGACAGTGCTCTACCACTGAGCCTTAGCTACAACCCAATATAGTAGTGTGTGTGTGTGTGTGTGTGTGTGTGTGTGTGTGTGGTGACAGGGATGGAACACAGGACTGGGTGTGCTAGGTAGGCACCGTGCCACAGAGCCACACCCTAGCCCCTTTGCCTAATTTCATATGCACAATGCCTGTTCAGAACCTTGGCTCCAGATTCTACCAGTCTTTTTCTTTAATAAAAAAATTCTAAATGTGTGTGTGTGTGTGTGTGTGTGTGTGTGTGCAGAGAGAGAGAGAGAGAGAGAGAGAGAGAGAGAGAGAGAGAGAGAGAGAGGTTGTGTGTATACTGATTACGATATGTTGTGTGGTTGCCCACAGACCGGTGGAAACCAGAAGAAGGTATCAGATCCTCTGTAGCTGGAGTCACAGGCAGCTGTAAGTTACCCGTGAGTGCTGAGAATTTCGTCTTCTAAAGTGCTCTTAGCTGATGAACCATCTCTCTAGTATCAATTATCTATAATTAAAATTGTGAGGAATGGCCTGACATGGTGACCCATGTCACCCCACCACCCCAGAGGCAGAGACAGGCAGACTTTTGTAGTTTGAAGTCAGCCTGTTTTACATATCCAGTTCCAAGCCAGTAAGGGTTACAAAATGAGACCCTGTCTCAAAAAATTAAACAAGCAAAAGTGTGTGTGTGTGTGTGTGTGTGTGTGTGTGTGTGTGTGTGTGTAGTTGGCTCAGTGGTTAAGAGCACTTGTCTTGCAGAAGACTCAGGTTCAGTTCCGGCACCCACGTAGTAACTCACAAGCATCTGTAACTCCAGTTTCAGAGAATCCGATGCCTCTTCTAACCTTCACAAGCATCAAATGCAAATGGTATATAAATGCAGGCAAAATACTCATACATGGAAAAAATTTTAAAGATCTGAAGAAAAATAAAAGAATAGTTTATTAGCCAGGCGTTGCACTCCGGAGGCAGAGGCAGGCAGATCTCTGTGAGTTCGAGGCCAGTCTGGTCGACAGAGTGAGTTCCAGGACAGCCTCCAAAGCCACAGAGAAACGCTGTCTTGGAAAAAAGAAAGACTAGTTTATTGATGGCTGGCAAGATGACTCAGTGTGTAAAAGCACTTGCCTGACAGTCTCAGTTCCACCCCTGGGGCTTGTGTAGTGGAAGGAGAGACCCAGCTCCAGTACCTTGACCTCTGACCTCCATTTGTGTCATTCCTCACAAAGAAGAAAGAAAAGCGCATTGAGCACTCGGCAAGGGAGCAGTGAGTTAGGGAGTAACTACAGTACAGGCTGCTTCCTTTCTTTTGTTTGAGACAGGGCCTCACTATATAGCCCTGACTAGCCTTGTAAGCTAGGCTAGCCTAACAGTGATCCTCCCGCCTCTGCCTCCTGAGAGCTAGGGTTACTATCAGAGGTTACAGGAAAGGAGGCAAGGGACTATGGAGAAGGTTTGGTGGGTCAATCCTGATGACCTGAGTCGGGTCCTGAAGCCCCACATTAAGTAGAAGGAGAGAACCATATTCCCAAGTTGTGCTCTGCCACGCACACTGTGACACACACTTAAACATCAAGAGGCAGGCAGGAGAGGGACCCCAGGACGATGTGGGGAGAAGGCAGAAGGTGTGGTCATCCAGGCCCCTATCCTTCCCTTTTAAGACACATGTGGTCTACATCCGTGTCCTGCTGTCTCTTGTAAAGACACAGGGTGGGAGGAGCTTCATCTGACTCATCCACGAAGCTGTCCTGCCTGGAGTAAGGCCTATCCAACTCTAGGCCTAGAACTGGTGAGCGCTCCCCTTGCTTCCAACTGTCCCTTCCCCTAGCTTGGCTGTCTAAACCTCGAGAAGAGAGGGAAGGAGAGTATTGTTTTGTCCCCTGCCCCCCAACTTATGATCCAGTTGGAGAAGAAGGGGCCTGTGGATGTGGTTGAGAGACCCAAGCAGGGTTGGTTGTGCCAAAGATTGTCACAGGGTCTCCAGACAGCTGTGTCTAACTCCAAGCCTGACCCTGAACTCTGAGCTCTAATTAAACATTAAACTAGTCACCTTTCCCAGTCTTGGTGGGAAGGCTTGGACAATTCCTTTCTTCCCCCTCAAACTTCACCCAGGCTATGTCTCTACCTCAGGCTGAGTTCAGCAGCCACAAGGAGCCGCAGCCATTTGTCTTCCTACTACAGACACAGAAGGGCAGACACCCCACCTCAGCTTCCTTCACCCCCACTCCGTCCCACCGGCCTGGACCCAGGTGTGTCCACCCACCAGCCTTCCCGGAAGCCCCACCTCCGCAGTGAGGATCAGCAGAGAATGGGGCAGGCAGCTAAATATAACAAGTCCACCATCACCCGGTCCCTACCCACATGTGCAAACGACACCTGGTGTTCCAGGCCTGGACAGCTGCGCTGGGAGGCACGGCCAGATGAGTCCACTGGCCCTGCTTCCCATCAATGCTGTCCCCAGGTCTGCTACCCAAGTTCTTCACAGGGTTCTGCAAGAACTTTGGTGGTCGACTTAACTAGTTTAGACCAGTAACTAGTTAACTCACTAGGACTCCTCTAACTTGCCTCAGACATTTCTCAATAAGTTGTTAATGTCTCTGATGGAAAAAAAAGGCAGGTAATTTCTTTTAGCAGAAAGAAAGGCTGGACCACCATACTCGCTGCCTAGGTCTGGAATTTAGTAATGACCAACCATGGATACACAGAGAGTTTGGGGAGAAGAGTTTAGGCAAAAGGAGAAAAATAGAGGGAGAGGCCAAAGGTACCAAACCCCTAAGGTACCTACAAGCGCCTTCAACACCCCTTGGCTTGGGTCTACAACAGAAGAAAGGACCAAGGAGCACAGAACCAAATGCGAGTCTGGGAGGAAGAACCTGGCCTAAATTTCCCAGACTTTGGAAGGGCTTTTTAGAAAGAAGGTGGAGTCAAGTAGGGTGGGGTAGGGTGGGGCAGGGATGGGTGAGGCGGGAGTGGCCTGAAGCTCCCTAACGGCCGGATTTCAAAAATGTCATTGTATTCCAGCAGTTTAATAAGACGAGATGAAGACAGCCGCTGAGAGGATGGGCCAGGGTGAAGTCTGGCTTGCTTAGGAAAATGAAAGGGGCTCACTGGCTGAGGGAGGAAAGGACAGAGCTTCCAAACCCTGAAGGCCCAAGCAGAGAGACAGGGTCTGAAGCAGGGTGCATAACCCAGGCATAACAGTATTTCCTCAGCCTCTGTGCCCAGCCTCCCTCCCCACCCTCCCTTGCATTCCTGGGCCAGGCAGGCCAAGGGCTGTGGGATCTGCGGGGGGAGCAGATCTCCTGGTGTGCTTCTGGTGGGCCTGGGAGTCTAGGGAAAGCCCCAGACATCTCAGCTCCTAGAGAGAACCAGAAGGCCATGCTAACACAGCCATGCGGGAAGGGGAGACTATGCTGCCTTGCCGACCCTTCTAAGTAACACTGGACAAGTGTCAGTGTGAGAGCTATGTTTTAGTGGACACCATGTGTTCTGAGCCACGCTGGGCAAAATTGGCATAGTGCCAAAGCTGCCAAGAAAGTTCTAACATAACCCTTTCACCCATTCGGATGTGTCCCGAGTGTCCGGGAGTTCCAAGACCCGGTAGAGCCAGTTCTGTTTTGCTCAAGCCCATCCCCCATATGACCGTAAAATCCCACCTTGACAGAATGAGGCCCTGCTGCCAACCCTACTTGGCCCCAGTGCCCCCACCACTCTTTATAGCCCCCACTCTCTCACAGAGACTCCTCCCTTCTGTGTCCTGTCTTGTCTATTCCCCTTGGCACTGCCAGCCACCCGCGGGAGGCAGTTCCGGGGAGGAGGGGACTGGATGGCCAGTTACCGGTGACTGCTGCCTGTCTGGTGCCGGCCTGGCCTCACTCACCGAGCCTTCAGCTCCTTGAACTCCTCCCGCACTTTGCTCAGCTCCAGCTGCAGGCGGGCGCGCTCCTTGGCCACAGAGTCGAGGGTCTTGCGGGCATCCCCCAGCTCGGCCTCGTAGGCCGCCTTGATGCCGGACACCTCTCGGCTGACCACCTCTTCAGACTCTGTGATGCGAAGGCGCAGCCCTGCGTTCTCCGTCTCCAGGGAGCGCACGCGATCGATGTACACCGCCAGACGGTCATTGAGCTCCTGCAGGTCCTCCTTCTCCTGAAGTCGGGTGATGCGAGTGGGCGACAGCGGAGTAGAGCTGGCCTGCGCCCCACTGCGGGTGGCGCGCCGCTGGGACGGGGTCTCCATGGCCGGCAGGGTGGCAGTGCTGCCCGCTGGGCAGGGGTCCCAAGAAGGACGCGGGACTTGGACAGAAGGACAGAGGCTGCTCAGGGGCACAGCGAGCCGGCGACTGCCTCTAAGCTCGCTCCTGGCAGGCGTGGAGATCTGGGCTGGGCGCTGGCGCACCTCGGGATCTGGGTTGGCTGGTGTCGAAGCTGAGGCTGCGTTCCCGCGAACACTGAGTCACTGACAGCCGGGCAAAGGCTCTAATAGGCCCTCCTCTGCGGGGGGGTGGATCCACGGTTCTTAAAGGAGCAGACCCAAAGGGGCGGGGGCAGGTATGGTGAGGAGGGGCCAGGACTGCCAAGCCTCACCCTCTTCACGGCACCCCTTTCTGGCCTGGGGCTTCGCGGCATGGGTTCCTGCCTACTCAACTCTTTCAGCTCCAAGCATGCCTTTGGCCTTCTGGGGTAAAGAGCAGAACCCAGGAAGGAGAGTGGGTGGGCAAAGGGCTAGGGACCAGGGGAAGTAGGTGCAAAGTAGGGAGAGCCAGACATGGCCATAGATCCAGGAAACTGGGGGGGTAGGACTGAGGCTGGTGCCCATCAGTGACTCACCCTCTCCCCCCACTGCTCCCCCCACCCAGTAGTAATAGTGAGTCACCTCTCCCCCCGCACACAGGGGTGGCCCATTCAGGGCTACATTTCATTATGCCAGGCAGGAGTGGGAGGAAAAAGGATTTTTTCTTTTTTGGTTTTTTGAGACAAGGCTTCTCTGGAACTCACTCTGCAGACCAGGCTGGCCTCAAACCCTCAGAAATCCACCTGCCTCTGCCTTCAAGAGCTGGTATTAAAGGCATGTGCCACTACCGCCCAGCAAACGTCTGGATTTTTTGGTGGCTGAGTAATTACTTTATGCCTTCAAGTTTGGGACAAAGATCAAGAACCTTCTTACCTATGTACTTCCCCTATATTTCTGACTTTGAAACAAAGCACTGGGTTTTGGATCTAAGCAATAAGCCTCAGTGCCCCAGAGAAGGCCAAGAATAGAAGCCAGGAGCTGGCCCCTCCCATCTCCTGCCCCTTCCCTTTGGGCCCAGACAGATGGAAAAAGAGGCTGGTGAAATCCCTCCAGCCCCCTTTCTACAGCTTACCCCACCCAACCAATTCCAAGACTGTACTTATTTTTTCCAGGACTGTACTTATTTTAATGGATAATTTAAAACAGATACCAGCTGTACGTGCGTTCGTCACACGGCCAGGACACCAGGTTCCAGATTTTTGTGGCTACAAGAAGGGCCTGCAGAGAGGAATGGGATGGGAAGTAGGGTTGGTTACCACAGGGTCTCCATCCTGGTTCCATTCCAAAGGAGAGCAGCAGAAGCAAGAACAGCACACACACGCCTCTCTAGCCAGTTATGCAAGGGCCCAGATCAGACCCAAAATAGTTACCCTGGCCCCCAGGCTCCTTGTCCCAGGTTCTTCAGCCTCCATCAAAAACTCCTCTGACCAGCTGCCTTGTCCTCTCCTATAACCCGGGGTTACACTAGCTCTGTCATCCTCTGCAATGGTGCCGTCCCCTGTTTATTCTGTGGAGGCACTGGGGACATTGATTAGGCTGCCAGTTCCTGGGGTTCCAGAATATCAGGGCTGGGCAGATTCTGGACCATGAATTCAAGTTGAGACTCTGGGAGAGCTCGTTTCTTTCTATTTCTTTGGTTGGTTGGTTGGTTTTGGTTTTTCAAGACAGGTTTCTCTGTGTAGCCCTGGCTGTCCTGGAACTTGCTCTGTAAACCATGCTGGCCTTGAACTCAGAGATTCACCTGCCTCTGCCTCCTGAGTAATTAAAGACATGCACCACCACTGCCTGGCTCTGAGAGAGTTCTGATTTCTGTGAGTTGATGGTATGGTGAGGACCCAGGATGCACCTTGGTGAGGGGAGTTAGGACACGGCTTCCTTTCCTGAAGTCTCTCCCTCAGGGTGTGGCACTGCCACTCAACTTCCCAGACAAAACAACAGCAAAAAAGTTTCTTCTGAAGCCAGGCGGTGGTGGCACATGCCTTTAATCCCAGCACTCAGGAGACAGAGGCAGGTGGATCTCTGTGAGTTCGAGACCAGCCTGTTCTACAAGAGCTAGTTCCAGGACAGCTTCCAAAGCCACAGAGAAACCCTGTCTCGAAAAACAAAAATCTGCTTCTCTCACTCCTATTTCCTAAACTAGAAGCTGAGGCAAATGGGTAATCCGATGAAACGTGAGGGCTGGGGCTCATGCTGTTCCCACTGTCTCTACCCTTCCTGCCCCCTCCTCCCCCTCCCTGGCCTGGCTTCCCTTCTTGGCTTCAGTAACAAAACCACACTTAACCCTTCTTTTCCTACCAGTCTCCATTTTTCAGAAAAGGAACAGAAGAAGGTTTTCACCCCAAACTGTACTCTGAGCTCTTACCAAAGCATCTGTGTCACCACTGTAATCAAAATGGCCTCAATTGCTGGGTGTTGGTGGCGCACGCCTTTAATCCCAGCACTTGGGAGGCAGAGGCAGGCGGATCTCTGTGAGTTCAAGGCCAGCCTGGTCTACAGAGTGAGTTCCAGGACAGCCTCCAAAACAATACAGAGAAACCCTGCCTCGAAAAAGCAAAAAAAAAAAAAAAACAAAAAAAACAAAAAAAAACAAAAAAACAAAAAAGCAAAACAATACAAAAAAGATGGCCTCAGTCCTAGATCTGAACTTCAGAGTGCATCTTTGTCCCCAGTGTCCCATCCCAATCCTGCGTCCCAAAGACTTGAGTTTGCTCTTCCTCTGTGGAAGCACAGAGCCATCAGCGCCAGCAGCCTCAGGAAAGAGTGGGAGGCCAGGTGCCAGGTCACCACTCTCCGTCCTGCTTCTCTGATGTGACCATGAGCTCTGCACCTGCCTCTCCCAGCCCTCAACAGTCACACGAGCAAAATAATCACCAAAGACCTGTGTACCGTGCTCCCAGGGCGTGGAGTTCTCCAATCCATGCCAAGGGCAGAAGTGTTACCCTGCTTGGTGTCAAGGGAGCCTCCCACTGGCAGAGAAGGCTGGGGAGGACCAAAACCAAGAAGAGCCAGGGGCAGTGGCAGCATGCACCTTTATCCCAGCACTCAGGATTGTCTCTGGGCAATCAAAGTCTGTGTGGTCTACAGGGCTAGTTCCAGGACAGCCAAGACTGTTACATAGAGAAACCCTGTCTCAAAAAATCCAAAAAAAAAAAAGCAGCCTGGAACTCAAAACTGGATAATGAATTCCACATGAAACCCAAAAGTCTGGGAGCTGAAGCATTACTGGAATCTAACAATGGAGTCTAAGGGATTGTTTGGCACTTGCCACCAGGACCAAGGGTCTTTTTTTTTTTTTTTTTCCAGACAGGGTTTCTCTGTGGCTTTGGAGGCTGTCTTGGAACTAGCTCTTGTAGACCAGGAGGCTGGTCTCGAACTCACAGAGATCCGCCTGTCTCTGCCTCCTAAGTGCTGGAATTAAAGGTGTGCATCACTACCGCCCAGCTTGTTTTTGCTTTTGGTTTTTTTTTTTTTTTTGAGACAGGGTTTCTCTGTGAAGCTTCAGAGCCTGTCCTGGACTCTCTCTGAAGACCAGGCTGGCCTCAAACTCAGAGAGATCCCCCCTGCCTCTGCCTCCTGAGTGCTGGGATTAAAGGTGTGAGCTACCACAGCCAGGCTATGAACCAAAAGTCTTCAGGAGGTTACTGGTCTCCTGTAACTCCCTCTTCTGGGCGTACCGGGTGGAACATGAGGGACTGAGCCTTGGTCATCTGTGTATTGATACACAAGAGGCACTCAGAGTCTTTTAAGAAACAAATGCATCCGGCCTGTCAATTTTAGGCGAGTGACTAAATTATCTCATGTCATAGTCTGTGTTCCCCCATCTGTAAAATGAAGCAGAGTAGGCGATACACACTGCAAGGGAACTTCTTTGCTAAAGGGAGGTTTAGGGCTGTTACAGGCCTTCCTCAAGTGTACACGGAGAATTTACTCACTCAACAAATAGTTACTGAAGTCCTACTATATGCCAATTTTTTTTTCTACGCACTAGGGATATAGCAATGAATAAAACAAAAAAGGGGACTGGGGAGCCAAGTGTGGTAGTATGCATCTTTAATTCCAGCACTTAGGAGGTATAAGGAAGATGATCTCTGTGAGTCGCAGGTTACCCTGGGCCACACAGTGAGACCCTGCCTCAAAGTAGATAGATAGATGGATGAATGGATGGATGGATGGACAGACGGACAGACAGATGGACAGAAAGACAAACAGAAAGATAGAAAGGGCTGGAAATATAGCTCAGTGGTAGAGCACTTGTGTAACGTGCAAGGCCCAGGATTCCATCCCTAGCACCACACACATACATGTGCAGATGCACACATTTATGTGTACACACATGTACACAGAAACACATGCATGTGCAGATACACACATACACATGCAAAAACAACAACAACAAAAAAAACAGTTAAAAATTCCTGCCATCAACTTCATGAACTCCCATGGGAGGACTTACCTTCTCTGAAGAGCTGATGGTGGGTGAGGGAGGACGGAAGGGGGGGAACTGAGATTGGAATGTAAAAGAAATAAAAATAAAAAAATAAAGCAGTGAACAGGGCATTGGTGGTGCATGCCTTTAATCCCAGCACTCGGGAGGCAGAGGCAGGTGGATCTCTGTGAGTTTGAGGCCGGGCTGGTCTACAGAGCGAGTTCCAGGACAGCCTCCAAAGCCACAGAGAAACCTTGTCTTGAAAAACCCAAATAAATAAGTGTCCAAATCATGTGAGGAAAAAAAGCAAAAAAATAACTTCCTACCCTCTTGGAGCTGATGCCTTGACCCTCTAGTAGAGGTAAGAAGGTAAATAACTAAGGGCAGAATTCTAGTTCTCTGCAAGGTGCTGAGTGTCATGAGCATAAAAATGCAAAGCAAGCTGGGCGGTAGTGGCTCATACCTTTAATCCCAGCACTCGCTCTTAAAAAAACCAAAAAAAAAAAAAAAAAAAAGCAAAGCAAGACAGTGTTCAGTAACTTACACACCTATGATTTTGTGTTTTGAGACAGGGTTTCTCTGTGTAACAGCTCTGTCTTCCTGGAACTCACTCTGTAGACCAGGCTGGCCTCAAACTCACAGAGACCTGCCTGCCTCTGCTCCCAAGTGCTGGGATTCTCTTCTGCTTTCATGTGTGTTCTGGGATTTGAGCTCAGGTCACCAGGCTTGTGTGGCTAGTCCCTTTACTTGTCACCTAGCCAGCCCCTCT